AACGATGATACAATAAGTTATTTTTCAACAAGCTACTTAGAGAATTTGACGAATTAATTTTTTAGATGGAATCAATTCCTGTTATAATATACACTTGTGAGTTGTCCCACATCGTCAATACAGGGAAAATAGGCATAACTTATAATCTAGTGGGTTACTTTTCCTACCACCAATAAGTTTTGAGATAGAACCTTACTTGGGCTTCATTTGGATTTCCCTGCTTTAGTGCGCTTCGTCCATGGAACCGCACCCGTGTAACAGAAAATGGAAATTAGCACTACAAGAAAATGATAAAATTCCAACGGAAATATATTCCAATAAAATTCCAACGGCAATTCCAATGGATATTTCAATGTTATTATTTCTGTTGGAATAATTCCAACGGAAATTCCAACAAAAATATTCCGTTGGAATGAATTTTTCATTGGAATTTTCGTTGGATTTTGACGATTCCAACAGTAGATTTTCCAACGGTGGTGAAAATAAAGATTCCAACGGAAATTGTATATTCCAACGGAAATTCCTACGGCCAAAATCCGTTGGAAATATAGCCGTTGGAATCATCAAATTCCATCTAAAATTCCAATGAAAAATACATTTCTAACGGAATATTTTCGTTGAAATTTCCGTTGGAATCATTCCAACAGAAGCTATACCATTGGAATATCCGTTGGAATTTCCATTGGAATAAATCACCATAGGATTTTCCGTTGGAATATAACAATTTTTTTGTAGTGTAGAATTGAGTTGAAACTTTTAGATTATAGTGATTTTGACTAGGTGATATATGAATTGTCATTCTGGACATCTTGTCCATTGTCCACCATGTGTGAGATTTTGGAGATTTTGAACATACTGAAAGCATAATCACAGTAAAGTGACATAGAAAATTGTAAATTATCTGCGTCAAATTTTGTTCTTTGACACTTTCGTTTCAATTTAGAATTCTATTTATTTGTCTCACTTATTTTGTGATCCGCTACAAATTTTGACGTAAGGCTAACGCAATGGCTATACGTGCTCCATTCTACAAATTATCACTACAAGAAATTTAAAACTAAATAACCAAAAAAATCATTAAAAAAATATTTGTAGTCAATAAAAATATTTTTGTTAGAATATGACTTGTGAGTTGTCCCACGTCGTTTATACATGGAAAATAGACCCACCTTATAAGTCTAATGGGTTACTCCTCCTTCCACCAATTGGTTTTGGGATGATACCCCACTTGGGCTTCATTTGGGCTTTCTCTATTGATGCGTTTCATCTGCGTGGGACCGCACCAGTTTTAACCCCGATTCTTACAATTTTTTAACGGAACTTTAGTGTAATAACCACCATAGCCGAATGAGAGTATATATCGAGTGATTTGAGAAAAAAATGGATGGAAAATGAGAGTATATATCGAGTGAATACAGGCCAAATGGCGAGCGTCTGATGAACAATGACGGTTAAATATAATTGATGAAGTAATTAAATTAATATTTTTTTCGAAAACACACGTTTCTAGATGAGATGATATAGCATAGAGGAAAGCTCGGTAAGGCGAACATGGACCAGCTCGGTTTACCGAAATCAGAGTTAAGCCATAGGTCCGATCGAAGTAGTAGCTCGACAGAGCAAGAGCATTGTTAGCTCGACTCAGAAGGAGCACTACGTGCTCGGTCTATTGGAAACATTAATAGTCTAGCTCATTAGGGTATAGTAGCCCGACATATTGAGAGCACGATTAACTCCGCTCAAAAGAGCACTACCAGCTCGGTCCCAAGGGTATAACAGCAACATGGGATGGTAAAAGCTCGGTGAATTGAGTAGCTCGGCTAGAGAATAGCTCCGAACAGTGATGAGGGTTGGTGATGGTAAGAGCTCGGTATAAGGAGAGCTAGGTACATGAAGAGCTCAGTATAAGGAGAGCTAGACATAGGAAGAGCTCGGTATGGGGAGAGCTCAATGGGATGGAGCGGAATTAAGCCAAGAGAGTATAATGGGGAGATCCTACGGGTGCTAGTTGACTTGTGGAGAGCTAAGAGTCGGGCTAGAAGGGTAGTTATGAAAGAGACCCACATGGAACATGTGTAGGGCCAGGATGAAGAAAGGAACAAATGATCAGACGGGAGAGGAATAAAGCATACAAGGAAAGCTAATAACTCCATATAAATAGGTGAGATGGGAAAGAAGGTAAAGGTAATCATCACACTCTACAAACCCTAATACTACCTACAGTTACATACAACTCTCCTCTATCCTTTACCGACTTGAGCGTCGGAGGTTTAACGTCGGGAACTCCTCCGGCGTCTTTGCAGGTCTCCGGAGAGCAAGCGGTAGAGGATCAGTGGAGAGCCGGTTCGAGGTGCAAGAGCACATCAGGTAAATATAGGTTATTATCCATATCACAAATTGAAGAAATCTCCACTTATAATGGGTACAAAGCCCTAATTCCATCAATATCATCCTCACCCAAACCCTTTCGAAGCCCATCCCCTACGGTAGGCCACATAATTGCACTACCATCGGTGGAATGGCCCAGTCCAAGAACATGTCCCAGTTCATGAAGCCCAATAGACCTCAAAGCAAATGCACCAGGCACAACACTATTAGCCCAAGTCTCATCTCTATCATAGTGAAGCCTACCATCCGATGGAGGGAAAGCATGGGCCAAAATTCCTTTGGGCCCATCAAACAAATTACCATCCTCATGGTCCTGCACTCGAAAGCTGATCTTGATATCGGCATTTTTGTAATCTTCAATGTACATGAACATAAAAGGCGACGCATTGGCCCATAATATACACGCATCCAAAATGGCCCGTTTCAAATCGGCCCTCGCGCCTTGTGGAAACGAATATGTTAGGTTTCTCTTGTTGGGTGGCCATTTGGGCTGGCCCGGAAAGAAGGTGTATTTGGAGCGAGTGAAAGTGTCATTTGACAAAATTTTTACTTGGTCGGAAAAAAAAACTGCCACCCCACAACGAGGCTTCTTCAATTTGGAAATTGTGTTGGCGTCCAAGATTCCATTTACTTGGAGCTTGAAGAATCTTTGGTAAAGTTTTATGGCTAACTCAAATTTTTCATCGAAAAAATCATCATCATCGTGCAGTGATGTGGTGCTCGTCTTAGCTATGTATCCGAGGCTCGAGAGGTACTTCTTAAGTTCGGAAATTCCTTTAACCGAGCCTCCTTTATGTGTTCCAATCATATTGTCGATGAGATTGACACTGATAAGGGTTTTGTGTTGTGAGACGAGGTCGAATGAGTTAAAGCTAGAAAAGGGTTGAGTAGAAGAATGAGGGAAATACAAGGGAGAAAGTGGGAATAATGGGTTGGTTCCATGTTGAGAGAGGTTTGGTTTTGCATGTCACTACAAATAATTGTTATGTTAGCTGCAAATATTTAGCGGCAGTTTTCAAAAACTGCAAGTAAATAAATATATTGCGGCAGTTTCCTGGACCGCCACAAACATATGTCAGAAATTAATATATAAAAAAATATTTATTTAAATGGCACGTGCTAGTGTTTTTAATTTTTATCCCTTACTCGAGTTGGTGTAAGGTTAGTTAATTAAATAAATATAACAATTGAAATTAAAAACAAAAGAAAAGGCTTACATGAAAAATTATCTTCTTTGCCACTAAGCACAGACATGATCAACATCTCTTCTCTAAAAAATCCCTCCTCAAAATTTGACCATCCCTCTCGTAGAAATTTCAACCGATCATCCCTCTCGCAGATCAGAAATTTCAACCATCGCTCGAGCTCAAGTGAAAGGAAGGACCTCAATTGCATTTAACAAACCGTAGAGTGCTCGAAGCCAGAAACGAAAGCTCAAGCTTGAAGCTACCTTGTGAAAGAAAGGAAGGACTTCAACTGAAAATTTGACCATCGCTCGAAGCTCAAGTTTAATTGCTCGAACTATGTAGTCCGGTAAACCTATATTTAAGATGTTTTAGTGGTTTTTTTGTTTATGTATTCTTCTTGCTCATTCTTAGACTTATGAATATTTCAATTTTTTTCTTTGCTGTTTTTTTTTCTATTTTGAAGATTTTTTATCAATCATATATATTAATTGTGTTTTCTGATGCCCGATTTGTTATCAAGCTATTGGAGTATATGTTGGTTTTTCTATATTTTTGATTTTTTCCTGTTCTCACCATGGTGTAAGCATTCAATTTCAAATAACGAGAGTTTTGACTTAATATTAGTCATTAGATATTTTGGAAAGATGTTGGTTCATGAGTTTTCATTCCCCGCAATCATGAGAATAGTGCCTTTTTCTCTGATTTTTGGGAATTTTACTGTGTTGCGGTTGTTAGTGTTTTTTCGGTATAGGTATATGTTGTTAACTGATTTGCTAACTGATTCACTGAGAATAGTGCCTTTTTACTGTGTTGCTAGCTGATTTTTGAGAATTTTACTGTGAAAGCATATGTTGTTGTGTTATTACGAAAGTTGGTGATGGTTCTGGGGAAACAAAGAACAAAAATAAATGAGAGTAAAGTGTCGAAAATTGTCATTGAAATATGTATTTGGATTTAGAATATATGTACTCACAGCATGATTTGGATTTAAAATAGTACCTACAAATAAGGGATTTGAGTTTTATAATTATTTTTTATATACACATTTTTTTGTTATACCAGACTTTTCACCGTTAATATTTCTTGTTTTTAAGTCCTCTTCAAGGGTGGCTGGGCTATAAGAATTTATTGGTTTGATTTGTCATCAACTGAAGTTTGTATTTCTTTTAGACATTTGAACTTCGTCTTGGATCATTGTAGTGAAAGAATGTCATCTTCTTTGCAATGTCTGTTACATACTTACAGTATTACATGCTTTATATCTATGTTCTCTTTAAATTTCATTTCACGTTGAAAATGTTCTATTACAAGATGTACTATACTTTTGTTGCATAAATGCAATGATGAAATAATTGGTTTATGCAATAAATTTCAATTTTGTTACTTCTTTTGTCGATTGGGCTGTGCTTCTCCGGCGAGCTTGCCTGCGCCGGTGGGGCTGTGATTCTGCTCGTCGGAGCTCTGAGTTTGTATGGAGTGACGCTCGTACTGAGTTGGGGCCGGGGCTCTGGTTGCTGCGGCTTGGCTGTCGCGGTGGCTTGGGTTGAGGGTGCGATTAACCTTTGTGCGAGCCCGCCTGCCTAGTGGTGTTAGGCGGCGGGGGACCAGGTTCTTTCAGGCTCGTTGAGTTCGGGTGGGGCTGGGTGAAGGTCGGTTGTGGCTCTTTCGGTTGACGATGGGTCGATTCTGGGATCGGTTCGGGGCTCGATTTCTTCTACTGTATAGGCAGTATGCAGATTCGGTAGCGGATTCTCGGGCTGGGATCTTTCTTGTGTCGATCGTCCACTGCTGGTTGGGATCTGTTTGTTCGTTGGGGGAGGGCTCCGTTGATTTTGTTTCATTAGGTTGTTTCTTGTTTTTTGCTTGTGTTTTGTGCCTAGGTTCGTGTTTTTGGTTTAGGCTGTTTGGCCTCTGTGCGCTCGGGTGTCACATTTATTTTCCTGTTGGGATCCGACACTCGGGTATTACCGTGTTGCGGTCGTTTTAGTTGTTTTAGTTGTTCGAGTTGTTTTAGTTGGTTAGTTTAGTTGTGAGCTTTATTCTAGCGTTGCTAGTCGGGACTCTAGGCGGTCTTCTGACCTGTCCTCCCACTTTTTCAGCTGTTGGCTGCTGTGTATTCAGCCGTTGGCTGCTGTATATTTGCACATTTGTGCATTTTGATTTATAATATAATCTGTCGTTTTGGGAAAAAAAAAAGACAATATTGTTAAAACTACTTCATATTAATATTTTATATCAAGTCTATTAGTGACGGTATGTGGAATTAATAAAATATGTTATGATTTTTTTAATCATTTTATTCTTCTTTGTATTTTTTACTCATAGGATTGTGAATATATTATAATTGTCTTGATAATTTTGAAATATTTTATAATTGTCTTGATAATTATAGGATTGAATTTGTATCCTGATAAATTAAGATTTTTTTATAACATTATAAATCAATTTTTTTTATACATAATAAACCAAGTTGTTGTAGTTATATTTTTATATTTAGTGTAAAATTATTAAAAAAATAATATAACATTGACATTCTAGACAATCGAGATTATGAATATAGTTATTGTAGTATTTATTTCAAAAATAAAATAATATTAAGCAATATGAATAGTAAAAATATATTATAATCTAAAATATAATATTATTGGTATAGGATTCTAAACCCGTAATTTTTGTAGTTCAATATGAATAGTTTCACACCGATTAAAATATATTATAATATTAAGCAAAAAAAGTCTTATTTACACGTCATATAAGAATCCTATTTATTTTGGAGTTAGAGGATTGGATTAAATAAAAATAATTATTAACGTGACAAGTTATTATGCTTTAGAACAATCTTGATTCAATGAAAAGGATCAACATCAAACGATACAAGATGTCCTCGCGTATAACAGAGTAAAAAAAGGATCATTTTATTCCATGAAAAGGATTCAATAAAGTAACTATAGCACCGGCCAATAACAGACTCAAATAAATGACATCAAAGCAAGCCCAATAACTAGATGTCGTGGCGTTTAATTTTATGTAATCCAGGATTGATTGGGTTGACATTTGGGCGGTAGGATCCTCATTCTAAAAAATATTTAATTAATAGTCAATATCTAATTGATATTTGAGATCTAATAAGCTACAGTCAAATGACATTGTTTTAAAAATCGGACCGGATTTGGATTTTGACGGGGAAGTGGGTCAATCTCAGCCCGTGAAGGAAGTTGAGCCGTCCATTCATCTCATTTTTCCTCTTCGCTAACGGATTTGGATTTTGACGGACGAACTTTTGGGCTTCTTTCACCGAGGCGAACCCGCGAAACTGAGTAAGCAGGAAATATACTGCAAAAACCTGCTAGTTGCATGAATGATACAGGAGGTCGGATGTACTCGTATACTTCAAACAAAAAGGGGTAAAAGGACACCTGGTTCGAAGTGGGAGTTGGCGAGATCGGGGGACAGGTTAGCTTGCAGCAGACTGTCTTCCTTGATGAGTCCCGTGTACTCTCCAAACTCCTCCGGGATGGACAAGAGGAGATCAACTCGGCGCGCAAGCTCGTCGCTAACGGCAGGGTTCTCCCTCCTCACTAAAAAAAAGGATACACCGATCTGTTAGCACAAAAAAGGATGTTATAAGAAGTCGAAAATGACGGAAGAAAAGAACTTAACCTATGTGAGCCGGTTAGAAATTGGGTTGGCATTCCTAAAGAGCGACCAACCAACCACTGACCTCCAACCTAAAACCACTCCAGCTGAAAGCAATGGAAGTTGTCGGGTAGGTTATGAACCAGTCCTTTACCCCCCCTATAGGTGGAGTGCACAATAATAATTTTCGGTCTGTTTTCATGTCTCCTTAATGGCGAACAGATCCCGGATGTCCTGACCGGTGGGATCCGACCACCCCTTATTCTTGAAAATGACGATCAGACAAATGATTTTGGCCACTGCGGACGGTGTAAGTGTTTAGTTAATTCTAGCGGGATAGGTTGATAACCGAGTTATCCAAACTTGAGTTGTTCTCGAAGGAAGACGGTTCGGAGCTTTGTCTATTAACTAGTTGTCCAAAGGCACAAAATGGAAAATAAAGTCCTAAACATTTTAATCAATTGATTTGTGTGTTTTTAAAGTAATTAGACTAAGGAATTGAAAAGCATTTGACTAAAGATGCAACTTTTAATTAAAGACCTAAGCTTTACTAAATCGGAGTGCTTAAAACCCAATAAAAAGCAAAGACAAAGAGAACTGAACAACGACTAACACATTTAGAATCTAAAGCTGAAAAGTTAACTACGAAATCACCGAACTTTTACAACAAAGACTCAGTTTTTCATTGTAAAGCTTCGAACTTTAAACTACCTAAAGCGATAAGCTAGCAAAATAAACTAAAAACGATCCAAGTAGGCCAAAATCGAACGAGACACTAAATTACTTCTAAAATCGTGAAAGTAAAATAGTGCAAATATCGAGATAGCAAGTCCTAAATGTAGGTACTTACTTCCATAATGCATGCTCAAATGAAGTAGACATAAAAAGATCAAAACTTGCATAATAAAAGAGTCGCCGGAAAATTCGCTGAAAAACATGGGTCAAGCCTCCACAAGTTTGGAGAGAAAATAAAAAGAAAAGAAAATTTCCACAAAAAGAAACAAAGCCAAATGAAGTCTAGATAGATAAAATGCAATATAGAAAAAGTATTTATACTACTCTCCAAACACACACGAGAAAAATGCACAATTAAGTGGAAAAATATATAATTTACCAAAAAATCATTTTAATATTTTTAAATTATTTTTTAAGATTAATTAAATTCAAATGAGATTGTGTAATATATGTTTGTAATGGTTCATGAAAATAAATAGTATTTGAATGGAAAAAAAAAAACTAAAATCAGAAGAAAACTTGAATTTTAATATATATTTATAACTCATGAAAATATATATAACTAAGTAGATCAAGTGTCAAAATGCATATGAAAACTATGTCACTGGAAAAGAAAAGATAATATGAATAATATTTAAAAACTTTGCTAACATATTCAGTTGAATTATTACGTTTTTATTTAGTCAATAAATAATGATAAAGTATGGTCTTCTTCAACAAGATAAGAAGACAAAATTCTAAATTATGACATGCAATTATTCTTGTAAAAGATTTTAAGTTAGTTTTATTGTGCATATTTCTCAATCTTCCACAAAAAAAAGTTTCAAATAAACAAGA